GGAAGAGCAACCTCGTATCTTCCGTCAGGTAGGCGTCTAGTCGTAGATTGATAGAATTGCTCACAGTACTGTTCATCAGGTGTCAATTCAGCAGCTGAGTCACTGATTTCTTCGAGCTCCCAGTATTGAGAAATTTCTGTTAGGTCGGTTATCACAACGTGACACTTAAACGTTTTCTCGTTACCCGAGAAGATCCAGCCCAATCTCGTCTGTTGAGTTATTGGAGCCATGTTAGGACCTTTGATCAGGCCACTCATGATGATCTCGGAGTATATGCTTTCGTCTAGTACCAGACCAATAGGCCTAGAGATAATGATTTCTTATATTTACGCGAACATTGCACATGATTAAAACTACTTTTACGGATTTTATCGCGTTTATTTTTACTTTTTATTTTTAATTCCCGACGTTTCGGGCGCTTTCCAGCACCCATGGTCACGGGGGACTGAGATGACTGACGTCCCGATGTCATTGTTAAACCCGGAGTACTACGTAACCTGTACTACGTAACCTGTACTCCGGGGAGTCGGCTCCGGTGTCGCTACGATCTTAGGCAGCGCTTCTGGTGCCGGAGAAACAGGTTCACGTGCAGGGGGGCAGGTCGATATCTTGATGCGCACAGTATCAAAGTACGTTCTTGCTTGTTGGTACTGATTTTCCGTAAAGTAAGGATCAGCGTCGTTCTCATAGTCGGATAACTTATGGTTGTTTACTAGGAACTCGGCCCACAGTTTATCAAGGGCATCGAGTCGCTCGTTCAAGTACTTACGAGTCTTGCGTGTTGCGGAATCCTTGCTGAAGTTTCTTTCTATCTTCTTGATCGCTTCAACAATCTCCTGTTGGCGCTGAAGTAGACTACAGTATATAAGATGAATGAGTGCAGATGGGATGCAAGGGAAAGTTAGTGTACGAAACAAACCCAATGAAAGTTGATCTAACACTGAATTTATTGTAAAGAATTATAAATTGATGTATAGGCAAAAGTACGGAAGTTACATGATTTCGCAAGTGACAAATGCGTTGTTTCTGTGTGACCTAAATAAACGAGTTATTGAAATAAAATTACATAAAATATGTGCGGTAACCCGTACAATTTATATGGCTAATGTATCTCTCACGTAAATTACCTCATAGGCAGTACATTTGCCATAGTTGCCATGCTTGGTTGGCAACCACAGGACTTTTTTAGTTATTATTATTACATTATTTCCCTCTATCACCTTTTATGACACCCACAGAAAAATATGCGCTAGTGAAGATTTTATACCACTACAACGCTCCTATTCATTTGCAAGAATGAATGTAAAATTTGTTGGTTAGTTATGAGTTGAGACACTAACAATGTACGAGCCCAGTTTATAGATTTGTAAATGACAATAATGCAAGGTGATTTCTTCAGTAATGTTTGACTCATAATAAATATCATATTCATAACTAAAATCAGATTGAATGAAAATTTTTGAATATTATATTCAAAATAAAAATAAAATGCAATTTTCACCATCATTCAGATAAGAACATTTCATGACAAAGGTTTATATATACATTCATATTTAATTGACATATTTAAGTTTTCAATGCAAAGGTACAGTCTGCTAGTCTCATAGAAAGAAAAGATTACACTTCAACAATAGTAGAAAGATAATCATGTTGAGTTATACGTAAAAGATAATCATACGTAAAATTGACTCCTTAGTTTTGAGTGGCTGTTAAGTGAAGAGTTTTTTAGTAAAAAAAAAGTAGTATTTGAGTAAAAAAAAAAGTATTAGTTTTCTACTACCGTAATCAATTAAAAATACTAACATTTACTTATTTATAGTTATTAATTTTATAACAAAAATTACAAACTTCTCAATAATCAACAAAATTTAGGAACTTATTTTTTTCTTTTAAAGTTTTTTCATAGTCTTATCTATCTAATCAGTATTTTTATATAATATTCTAAGTGATAAAAAACCAAAAATAAAAAATAACATGAAAATTGTATTAAAAAATCTGTCAAAATAGTTTAAGCACATATCAACGTTATGGTGTCGGCAAATAACAGCTTTACATTTTTTTGCGTACGGCATTTGCTTTTCTCTTTATTTTAGAGGGGCAATATTTACAATAGTCACGTTTTTTGGCTATTGGCTCTACTTTATCCTCTTTTTTGGGCACTCATTTGTAACAAATTATTTATAGTAGCGATAGATTACGACTCATCACGGAGACATATAATGTTGAAGAAGATCGGTCGTTCAACTCATCTGTGGACATATAGTTGTCTTTTCTTATCGCAGTCATTACCAAGATGCCAATCAAAGCACTGATTTCATTCTCACTTGTGTCTTTGAATGTAGCACTAGTCATAGTTTCCCGCCCTTTGAAGGATATTTCTGCATTGGTCCATCTTACAAATTCGAAAATTATTTCATCAGCAAAGAAGATGTTGAAGCATAAAACCGGCTCATAAAGATTGCGGCACATGCGTTTTGGACCCCTTTGAGACCTGACGATATTCTGTGCTGAGACTCCACCACGTCTTGAAAACTTTGAGGTCGACCAGCAGTGTTTATTCTTACCTCTGATAGTTCTTCGTGACAGAGTTATTATTCGACGAGAAGCCATTGAGGGAGTTGCTTGTTTAGAGCTTTCTTCCGCCATGGGGTCAATTTAGAAAGGAGTTATTACTTCTTCTTCCCTCACATCGTCCACAAAACCATCTTCCTCATTGCTCTGGATGTCATCCTCGCTCTCGTGGTCTTCAAATTCACTGTCGGTGTCAACACAGGGCGGCTTCTCATCACTCTCCTAAACAGCGGCAAGCATGTGGTCTTCATCAAAATCTCTAGTCTCCATTTTGGCTTAGCAGTATCACGACAGCTAAAAAATAAAAACAATATCAGAAATATGCGATTGCCCCACGCTAGCTCCCAGCGGTGAATGAGATGTCTGAAAAGCACAACGCCGGATTCGCAATAATTAAAAAGAGGGGACAGTATTTCATTCGCGTGGGAGTCATTTTGACGTAGATTATCTTTCTAGGGTTAAATAAAAGTTATCTATTTGAAATTACCTTCAACAGGTGCTAATGAGATGCTAGGCTTTGCAGTGCTTGTTGATGGTTGGTGATCAAAACCAACATTTATATGGCAGCCTAAAAAAATACGAAAATAAAAATGTGTATTTAACTGTTTTGTATCATATATGTTAAGATAAAAATCTAAGTTGAATTGCATGTGTTTATAATTTATTATAATCGGTATAGAATAAAATTTCGATATTATATTTAAAAAAAGTAATAATCATATTTACATAATACCAAAAATTAGTGAGCCTCACCACACATTGAATCAAACATCATTTACCTGGCAAATGTAAAGTTGGTACTGCATTAGATGCAAGTCTTTTACTCCATGGGTAATAAGTACTTTGCTCAAAGTGGAGATGACATACTCTGCGGTACTTTAATATATTGTCATCGTTCATTGCTAAAATGTCTCCACCAATGGCATACACCCAAGAACGAAATCGATCAGCTTGTTTGCTTGGGTTTGGAAATATATGTTATAACATTATCCGTTCCTGAAACAAAAAATAAATTAAATAGTATTATTATATAATGCTAATTTAATGATATTTTCAATCGTCTTATATTGAGTGGACATGAATAAGTTTTAATAGAGATAAGTGATTTCACGCTCATTAAAACATTAAGAATGATTTATATTTCTTTATGAACAACACGTAAAACTAACCTGGTACATGTTCAGGCTATCGCAATTACAGCGATGTTTAAACAAATAATATCAAGTAGGTTTTAATTTTGTACCTTGTAATAATTTTATGATATATATACTTACGGTTTTTGTAGCAATTAGGTACACAGCATCTTTTTTTCAGCAGCCATGGTAAATGTCGACAGAATCCAAGTCTTAAGGCAATCCAAAATCCAAAAAGAAGTCTGTGAGTCAACGTAAATAGATTCAAGGTACGAAGTCCAAAAAAGCGAGCCAAAATCGTCAAAAAATTCACAATTACAAGCAAAGGAACACATTTACGTAAACAAATGTCAAACTGTATGAATTTTAAATTTGAATTAGTTTCCAAGATGGCGGGCAAAGCGAAAAAAGCGCCCTCTGGAGCTTAATGTTTGAAACATAAACACGTCTAAACCACAAAATGTGTAGAAGTGATAGGCCCCTGGTACCGACATTCACGTACGCACCAAACAATTATGTTTATTTAATTTGCAACAATACGCCTAAACAATCAACTGTGCTCTAAAATTGGCAGCCTCGTACCGGTAGGTGAAGTGTAGGGCGTACCCCCACTAGATGGAGTGACGACCTGGTAAGATGTGCAGTAAGTCCATTGATGCAGGTGGCTCAGGACCGTGCTTTGTGGCAATCCTTGGCTCACCCAAGGTTCCTATGTTCAGCAATGGACTTCTGAAGGGCTATGTTGATAACGATACACAAACATATCGACACCTCCATACAATAACATCGTAACTCATTTTTTTCCATAAATTGCGTTACAATGATATTACTATGTAAAAAAAAATACAATTTTTCTGTACAATCATTGTAATTCTGCTCCCATTCAATTTTAAAATAAACAAACGTCAAAGTATTGTAACATAACAAAAAAAGTATTTTTTGTAAACAATATCGTTGCAACTTGATTTACAATTTATAGAAAATATTATGAGTAGCAAGTCAATCAAATACAACAACATTGTAACATTATATACAATTTTTGTACATGACAAAATTGGGGTTTATGGCTATGAAACGTAATGCAACTGCATTGTATGTTGACTTACAATGTTGTTGCGCGGATATTTATGTTAATTTTTATCGTGTTATGACTAGTTATGTCGAATTGCGATGTTGTCGTCTAGCAGTTTACTCGCGCTTTAGAAGTTTAGTGTTGTTGTGTGGTTTACTATACAGAAGTGAGAAGTGTACATGGTGACTATTTCGGCTTTTAAGTAATAAGATAATAGTAATAAGATGAAGCGTAGCCAAAATATTTTAAATTTGGCATTATCATTAAGTGGAATTCCAACTGGTAAGTTGTATTTTAGTGTAAATTATCAGTGTTAGCAATAACTACGTATTGGTAAGCGCATCGGAGCCGTTCAGTCAGTTTAAATTAAAAATGTACCGAGTTAAAGTTGTACCGAGTAACCGAATACAGAGTTTTACTCGGATTTGTTATTTATTACAGAGTCGAGTACTTTGTTGAGTTACTCGGTTCAGGTTTATGCAGGTCTGGCGCGAAAACACGTTTATACATGATCACTTGTGCATGTACATTGCGCTGCGACGCTCCTCGTCAGATGTAAATGCTTGCTAAGATTAACTTTGTTAAAATTGGTACTTTATATTTTAGATCAAGAGGTAGCTTCGACTTCGTCCAAGGCAAATGATCATGCTACGCAGAAAGTTATTCCACCACAAGATAATAGCTATTTTATCGAACGCGGTGAAGACTTACTTTCATTCAAAAATAGTATGCGGGAAAATGCGGTTGTAAATTATTACCCAGATTCCTTCACCTCATCTAGTAGAAAAGAACCATTTTCTCCTGACTTTTCGGAATATGTTCCTTCCGACCAGGATGTTTCAAAAAATAGTTCTCAACATTCTTCAGAACATAATATTCCTTTACAAGAGATACCAACAGCTACAAACATATCTGAAAATAATACCACTCCCGAAGGGACAGCAAGAAAAGTGAAAAGGAATGTTCCGAAAAAAACTAATCCGGGTAGAAATCGAGGTCATAATCGAAAAAACTGGAAACGCAACTTAAGTAAGCGAAAGAAAAATTCGGGCGAAGAATATGTAAACAGAAGCGGAATCTTAGTCCCAAAGAAAGTTATGAGGAGTGGTTGTAATAATGCCTGTACTAGGAAGTGCAAAGAAAGATTAATGGAAACGACAAGACATGCAATTTTCAAAGATTTTTGGGGTTTGGGCGACCACACAAGACAAGCTGATTTTGTTTGTAGATTTGTAGATAGAGTTCCACGAAAACAAATAACAGCATCAGTTAATGGACACTCACGGCGCCACTGGTCCTTTCAATATTATTTATATGAAGATGGCGATAGAAAAAGGGTCTGCAAAAAATGTTTCTTGATACTCTGTGTATTAGTGATATGTGGCTACAAACTATTTACAAAAAAATGGACAAAGAAGGCACTGGGCTTATAGCAGGAGACTTGAGGGGGCGAATGAAGTTAAAGAATCTGTTAGAGATCATATTTCGTTAATTCCTATAGTGGATTCACATTATGTAAGAAAAAGAACTTCCAAACTACTTTGAAGAAACTTTAACATACCCTGCATTGTACAGGCTTTACGTTGATTGGATGAAAGAAAATCGTCCGTTGAAACAAGTGGCAAATTCTAGGCAATATAAGGACATTTTTTATAACGAATATAATATTGAATTAAAATTATTAAAATTAAAATAGATATAAGAGAGGATCTGAAAAAGAAAAAGATGACATGAAGCTAGAGTACACCTTGCATATTGCGAATAAAACAGTGGTAAGAGAGGTGAAAGAGTCTTGTAAGTATCAGTCGAAACAATCTAATGTTATAGTTACAGCCGCTTATGACTTACAGAATGTATTGAATACACCTCGATCAGAAGTTTCGCTCTTTTATTACAAAAGGAAATTTGCCGTATACAATTTTACTATATATGATATAGGAAAGGCCAAAGGATATTCATATGTCTGGAATGAGACAATAGGCAAGAAAGGATCCTCAGAAATTAGTAGCGCTGTGTTTCTTTTTAATAAACAGAAATATGAAGAAGGGTTTCGTATATTTAATTTTTTTTTTCGTAAGTTTAATTGCTGTGGCAGACAAAACCGCAATCGAATAATAATAGCTATGTATTCCCATGCATGTAAAATATTTGGCATAACGATTACACATAACTATTTTGAAGTAGGACATTCACAATCTGAAGGAGATGCTATGCACGCGTTAATAGAGCGTCGGAAGAAAAAATCAGATTATTTTTTGTACCAGAGCAATGGATCACTCTGATCAGATGTGCTAAAACTACGGGAACCCCTTATGATGTTACTGAATTAGATCAAAACCTAATTCTTGATTATAAAAGCCTTCTAAAGAAAAAACTAAACTGGGACTGGAGTAGTACTGGAGAAAAGATGTCTTGGACTAAAATAAAATATATTAAAATAGAAAACGAAAACCCTGACTTAATATACTTTCAATATGATTATCTCAGTGATCAGTACTTATCTATCAACCTTGCTGTGAAACCTACTACACGCATTACACGAACAAAAAGAGCACAAGAGTCAATTCAGTGTGAACAGCCAAACGACTGAGAAAGTATTCCTTTATTGTATAATAAAGTGCTCCCAATATCAACAGCAAAGTATAAGGACCTTGTAAGTTTGTGTAAATGTAAAGCGATACCAGATATTTATCACAATTTCTATTTTAATCTTCCACATTCCACTCAACTAGCTGAAAACAACGGTAGTGATGATGAAAATTAATAGTTTTTAGTTGATTTCCTATTTTTTTGTTTGTTTTTCAGAAAGAAGGTTTTTATGTTTAAAGAATAAATATATAATTATAATAATAAAGATAATAGTTTTATAAAGTCAAAGTTTAGTTTTCGGGAGAGAATTAGATTTTTTTATAATTAAAAAAAAAATATTTAGTGTCATAATTATAAGTCGGATAATAATGTTTGTATGCAGTGAAGTTTTCTAATTTGATGTCAATAAATATTTTAATAGTACGAAACTGCTTTTTTATCCTTTAAGTCAATAAAACATTATCATAATAATTCGTAAGAAAATAAATTTATTACACGTCACATTATGAGATGATTCTTTACAGATTTATAGTTGTTTGCATGAAAAATACTTAAATTTTACTATGAAGAATCATTTTAGGTAATAACACCACGGAGTTACAATTATCTGACAACAAAAATAAAATTAGCTTACAAAAAACTAAATTGTATCTCAGACATACAATGCTTGTTCTCGTAACTTATATGCTATTTCAATGAATTGTTTTTCACGTAAGTCATGAAAAACCATGAAATCAACTTTTCTTTTACAACCTAACCGTAAATAAAAATAGTGCACCTAAATAATATTAGATAGTGACAGCTTCAAATATTGTAGGGGTCGTTTTGAAAGTGGTACATTTTTTTAAACTTTAAATTCTGTCTACTCTACAAACATAAAAAATTAGTTACGATTTTATTGCATGGAGGTGTCGATATATATGTATATATACATACACACTATATATATATATATATATATATATATATATATATATATATATATACTGGTCATCAAAAAAATCGACCCATTTTTGTTTGAAATTTATCGACTGTTTCACGTAATAGCTGTTTCACACATTTGTTTTTTATTTTGAGGGTCGGATATGATGTTTGACATCTTGTTTGTCGTAAATCTTATTGAACTGGAAGGTACTTTTCAATTTTTTATACAGAAATACTGTTGAGTGCTGATTTCGTTGTTTTATGTCAGAACAAATTCGAACCGTTATTTCAGTCCGACACAGACTTTTGTAGGGATTTCTCGTTAATAACGATAAGTTTATTTACTGAGGCTGTAGCTTTGATTACTTTGTCAAAAAATAATGGACACTACTGAAGCTGAGGCGGCCCAAGTTGTAGCTTTGCTGCAACAAGGCTTAAGTCAACATGTCTTGGCCAGGAGGTCAAATCTGAGCCGTTAGGCAGTGCGACGAGTTTACCAAAAGTTTCTGGAAACTGGGAAGTATCGAAGAAGATCTGGATCTGGAAGACATAGGGTGAACGATTTATAGTGTTATCAGCTCTACGAAATCGGCACCTATCTGGTGTTGCTCTCCAGCGACGCTTACGAGAAGATCGAGGTGTAGCTATAAGTGATAGTACTGTGAGAAGGAGACTTCGTGAGCAGAATTTAAGACCTCACAAGCCAGCAACAAGACCACAATTGACCACAGCTCATCAACAAGCCAGACTTCAATTTGCGCCTAACCACATCAACTGGACTGTAGGCCAATGGGAGTCAGTTCTTTTTAGTGATGAGAGTTGAATGACTTTACGGTTTTGATGGACGCCGTAATGTCATGTGACGACTAGGTGAACGTTATACCCAGTGTTGCATAAGAGAAACTCTCAGTTATGGTGGAGGCTCTGTAATGTTTTGGGCAGGGATATCTTTGACTGAACGTACTGAGCTGGTATTCATACGAAGAGGTGCTTTAACTGCAGCACGTTACATCACAGAGATCTTAGAAGACCATGTGGTGCCATACGCCGGCTATATTGGAGAGACCTTTGAATTAATGCATGATAATGCACGACCACACGTAGCGCGCATTACAACCGATTACCTTGAAGAAGCCGGCATTCGGGTTATGTCGTGGCCAGCAAGAAGCCCAGATCTCAACCCTATAGAGCACATGTGAAACACCCTAAAACAAAAGGTTAGAGCCCGTAATCCAGTCACTACAACATTAGGAGACCTTGAAACCGCCATTAGGGAAGAATGGAACCGAATCCCTCAAGAGACCAACAAAATCTTGATATATTTTATATTATTATATCTTTATATTTTTGTATTATTACTTTATTTTATAAACATGATTTATATATAATAAAAGTAAAATTAAATTGTTTGTCTGTAATGATGAAATAAATGGCTTCTAGTAAGCTCATGGGTTGTTAAGAGGCCAGACAGTTTAAATTGTATGTCTGTATGGCCAGGCTGGCTCAGAACGGCTGGACCGATAATGATGAACAATGCCAAGAAGAATTTAGGATATATTTCATTCGGAAAACTTCTCTTACCTCTTGAAATTTTTCTCAAATCTGAAAAATGCCTCATTAATAGAGCATATTCAGGCAAAGTTGGGGCAAGTCACTAATTAATAATAAAACACTTTTCATATACATACGTGTTTAGATGGATAATTCATTGTAGAAAGTTAGCTTAAATCGGTCCTTGAATTACTATACAACACAAAAAAAGGGTCGGTTCACGACGCTGTCGACGCGCCTAAAACTTTCTTAGTCAGGAAAACTAATTCCCTTTATCCTTGAAAGTTATGCCTTTTTTTAAGCTCACCCTCTGCTAATTTAAGCAAAGGGGAAACACCGATAATGTTTTCTTAATGTTACTAATTATATAAATATTACATTTAAACACAAAATTCATTAAAAAATAAAACGAATCATTAGAAATTGCTGTTACGAGCTAAGCGTTCGTGACAATAAAAACTGCCGATTGAATTACCAAAATTGACATTTTAATTACTGAACACCAACTTAAACTTATATCACACTAATAATTATTCACACTTAACACTTTATTTCATTTCACTTCGCTCGTATCGCCAATTCAATACTGCCCCGATGGCGGCTTTCAACGGCTTTAAATAGGCTTTTTCCAACAAAACATCCAGAACATCCGGCCCCGACCAATCAGGTGTAGAAAGTTCGAGTGTGGGGGCTTTCTAGAAAGCTTAATTCTTCTATTCGATACCAAATAACGCTGTTGGGAGAGTTCTAGAAAGATCTCGAAACTCCTATTTCCGATACTTGATACCATATGGCGCTAGTGCCATCAACTGTGGCGCGCAACATTAATGTAATCAAAAAGTAAAAACGAACTGTAAAGTACAAAAAAAAATACACACAATACATAATTTTACATTCTGCAGTCGGTACTAAGACATATTTTATCGAATAACCAAAACCCTTTCAGAAAGGGAAATTATATTATTTTCCAGTTCTTTAAAGTCACCTTTAGTTATTTAAAGATTTTTTAAGTATTATTTTTTAAAGTATTTTTTTTAAGTATTACTTAAAGTTTTTTTTACACTCTTGAGTGGATTTTAATGGTTAATTTAATTTAATTTAAAGGTTAATGGTTTGGCGGTGAAAGGAAAAGGAGATATCTCCCGCCAGTCAAGGTTTTCTGCCCGGGCAACGGCCAACGCTCCGTGTGATAGTTCGGAGCTATTCTATATATACTTTTTTTTGAACATTACCTCCACACTAAGATTTTCTCATGTATTGTGGGGCAGTTTACTAACATAAATTTCACAAGGACGAACATCCAGACTCGAAACAATTACTTGTAGGCCATACAAATACTTGTTCCGAGCGGGATTTGAACCCGCGGCCC